TCCGTGTATCGGTGTATCGGATGCAGCACGCCTTCATAAATAGGTGTATCGGTGCAACATAGGTGATACTTTTTATTTTTTGTCATTTCTAAGTATTTTCTATACAAAAAAAACTAAAACAACACATTTTCAACGAAATTCAAATATAATACATAGTACATAATTTACACTTAACAATAGTATACCAAAGTCCATCATCTTTAATAAAGACACAATATTTACATCAATATTTTGGGTTAAACTTCAAGATAACATAGAAATTAAGGTAAACTTTAGAATATCTTTCAGACACAAATGGATGGTCTTTTAAGCACACTATTCAAACCCTTAACTATATATTGAGATCATGTAAATTCAATTCCAATATGATTTGAGATGAATAGCTAACACTAACAAAATTTGCAAATAGTAAACTTCCAAATAATCCATCAACTATTCATATATAGCAAATTTTGTTAGAAAGTACTATGTTGTTATAATTTAATAAATTGAGTAAACAAAATTGATCCAAAATTAACCCTTTGAAACTAAATTGGGATCGATTTTGTATATTTGAGGGACTAAATTGTGATCAATTTTATATGACCATTACAACATGAGAGAATATTTTGGATCAATTTTGTATAATCAAGAGATAAAATAAGAGCAATATGACATTCCGAACTAAATTGACCACACATACGAATAGTCTGGAGATTATTTTGAAATTTTTCTATATTGCTATCATATGAGTATTACCATGGCACCTAATAAAGGCTTTTATGGATGATAACGTAACTATCTGCCAAAAATATTTGGGAAAAAGAAGGATAATAAGACCTCAAATTAACTAAAAAATATAGAAAAAAAAAGAAAAAAAAAAGAAAAGAAAATCCAAAGATGAATTATTATAGCTTATAGTTGATTAAAAGTTTATAACAATATGAAATAAAAAGAGAAGTAAAAAACAATAAAGGAAATCAAGGTCATTTTAAGATGTTGATCGAAAAGAGTAATTCCTGAGAAGACGTGGAATGCATATTATAAATCTCTCTTAAGAAGCATAAAAAATAGAAGAGATAAAATGAGAACCGAAAGTAACAAGGAATAAATCCCAATTTATTTAAGTACAAAATTAGAATATCTATAGTATGAATGTAATGTATGTATTAAATGATACACCACCTATTTTTTTAATTTTCAATACTATTATGATGCAAAGTATGCATTAAAAGAAAGGTTGATTGCTTTCCAACTTCACAAAACTTGAAGGGTTTAAATAAGATAAAAGATCACAAAATAAATAGTATAAATCTCAAAAATAAAGCATGCCCTCCAAAAATTTCTAACCTTAAAAATCTTAGAGAAAAAAATTTTAATCTAAAAATTAAGTTTTAGAAAAAGATGGGGCACAAAGAAAAAAAACTTACAAAACGAAAAAGGCCTTATGAGATAAAACTTGAGCTAACCAGCCTAGTGCCACCAAAATACAACCGACCAACTCGAGGGCACACTTGGCATGAACAACATAATAATATTAACTTGAAACCTTCACTGTTCACATCCTCATATTGAAAGAATTGGCATAGGTGGCGATGAAGGCAAAAAGTTCATTGCCACCTACCAAGGGAGATAAATTAGGGGGATAAGTAAAAAATTTCATCCCGTTGCCAAAAAAAGAGTTGCATTTCAAGCTTAGATTTAGGTTTTAAAATCCATTTCAAGATCAAATTAAGCAATACAGGATTGACTCATAAGGAACTCTCAAACCATCAAAGAGTTGACTAAAAATCATAGCTCACTCATTGCCTAAACCTCACCTAAGTTTGTTATAGCCAAAGAAAGGGTTTCTAACAAATAGAAAAATTTCTCATGAAGAAGATGAAAATGCTTTGAGTTGAAATATACCTATAAATAAGTGATGATTACTGTTCTTTAAGAAAATAAGGTGTAAAGTATTAACACTAAAGGTAAAGTGAAAGGGAGGAGTTTTAGGAATTAAAGTTTAGTAAGGAGTAGGGAGGGAAGGAGGGAGGGAGGAAGAGAGAGAGAAGGCAAAAAATCCTTAAGATTAACAGCTCAAAACGATGGCAGACCAGCACTTCCATGGACAAAAAAGGAAAGCAAACAAACAAATATATTGTGGTGAATCCACCAATGCAAAGAACAACAACAATCAAGACAGGAATGCCACAGAAAAACTCAGCATAGATTCAAATAGGCAAAGGAAGCAAAAAGACGAGGCAATAAATCTTCCAATTACTAGCTAGAAAGATAGTTTTAGAAAAAAAAAATTACTTGCGTAAATTGGCCACTAAGCATTAGAAGTAAATGCTAAAATAATCCTTTGGTAACCACAAAAGCAGCATAAGTTTAGATAAAGACTAAACCAGATCGAAACAAGCAAAGTCCAAATTACAACAAGGATGACAATAGAACAGCTAGCTGCAAACCTATAAGATGCAAAAAGCTCAAATGCCAAACCTCATTAAGTTTCAGTACACAACCATCAAAAAGAACCATAAGAGAAAATAGCAAAGCCACCAAGATTGAACCACAAAACTAAAAAAGACAAAAAAAAAAACATGGGACCACCCCCTTGGCAAATTTAGGAACCATCTAATTACTAAAAATCATAAACCATGCATGTAAAAAGCTTGAAAATAATAAACACCAACTATTAGTCCTGATGCATTAAAAGAAGAACCGACACTAATGACCATAAAAACACAAGCTATGAAATAGTCTGAAAAGGTAGCAATGAAAATACCAACACCAACAAAGTAAGATGAAGCCACAAGGATGCAAACAACAAAATCAGACATTAAATAATCGAGTGCATTGCAAAAATGCCACAAAAATAAAAAGAAAGGATCCACTATAAGTTGGAAAGTAAAAAAAAAAAAATAACCAACTAACACCATCAACAAACCAAATGTTATTCTCATATTCTAAAAGTAATATTAATCGAGAATAACAATGCCTTAAAGTTCTTCGGTCGGAAGTTGACCTTGATCTATCTTTACAACTAAAACATAAGTTCTCCGAAAAATCAACATCTTCATTAGTTTCCCAGTTCGTACACATCTTTTTATAGTCGAATATGTTAAGAAGTTGATTAATCTTGCATTAAATACTAAAAATGTCCCACTTGCAAGGAGTGCTATTGGTAGGTATATTGAATTACGATGTCAACATCAATCTCAATGAGAATTTTCAAAATACCGGCAATATTACAATACTTTAAAGTTTAAACTTAGACAGAGGCCCATAAGCTCAACATTAGAGGATACATGACTCAAGTACTTATAGAAAGACAAAGTATCATTTCCCATATAGCCACTTAGGAAACCACCACAAGACACCTCTAAGAGACATTTAGAACAACTATTAGTGCTAAGTTTAAAATAGTCAATTGAAGGATTAACCTATGTAACGACTTTAATGATGCAATGCTTAACAGAAATCAAAGGAAAATAGTATTAACTTATAATTTGAATCGTTGATGCAAGCTAACAGAGTTATCAAATGATTGGTATATGGATCATGAAATACTGTGTACTCGTATCTCTACTAAATAACTATGAATTATAAAACCATCCTTTGAACATTAGAAGTTTGTTTCTTCGAGCATCCCATCAATAGCAGTGATGTAAACAATCAGCTAAAAAGAACAATGAAGTGAATACCTCATATTCTTAAGCTATTAAGCATTAAAATTTATATCGAAGTAAAATGGAGCGTCCCTTTAGAATCTTTTATGATCTAATAGTATTTGATATAAAATAAGATTAAATCCTAAAATAATCCCCGACTATTCATATGTGGCATATTTAATCCCAAAGTATCCACTATACAAACTTGATTTAAAATGATCTCCCACATAAAATTTGTGATACAAAATTGATATTAATTTAATCCATCGACAATAGAAAATTAGTCATAATTTAGTCTCTGAGGAACCGTAATGGATCTATTTTTATATTATCGTGGAACTAAATTTGAGAAATATGATATTCTAAGAAAAGTGACCACATACAAGTCGAGAAAATATTTTGGAGTTTAGCACTACATAATAGTGATCAATGACATATGTATTTGAAAAACAAAAAGATATGGATGTTAGATATAATGACAACAGAGGCTACTGGTGATGATGATAGAGCACAAGTAACTTGCATCAATATTTATGAGTCCTCCCTTAAACCTCAGGTAAATTGCATCAATATTTGTTTACAAATCCCCACATTGCTCCACCAACTTGAAAGTGCATATTCAAGCTCATCGCTTATTCATTCTCTCAAGTCTATGTTGGAGCTTTAGGCAATATAAACAAGAAAGCAAGACTTGAGCATTAAAAGGTGGAGCTAAAGCACTAATCTTTTCATAAAAAATAATTTGTGAACAACATCTTTATCTCACTTATGCTCAACTAATATTGTTAGAATATCAGGTGATGACACAATGTCATAATTCAGTATATTGATCTATTAAACAAAACAATGGGCATAATGTTAAAACTGGGAAGTGTTCCTAAAATACTATCGGATAAGAGAATCTCACTGCGGCTTAAAGGTCAATATTATACAAAATCAATTAGACCGGCTATGTTATATGACTTAAAGCGTTGGGTATAAAAAATTCATTGATACTCAAGTTAAGAGCGATAGGGATGACAATGTTAAGATGTATATGAAGTAATTCTAGGAAAAAACAATTATATTAGAGAAATTATGGGAGTATAAACTATTGAATAAAAGGTAGTGAAAAATAGACTTAGATGATCTGAACCTGTATAATAAAGAGTTGAAGATGAATCAATATGTTAGGTAGTTAAAGTTAATGTGATTAGGAAGGAAAAAGAGGCGGGGAAAAAATGACAATATGTAAAAAAGATTTAAGCAAAATATAATTAATACTCATGTAGCACTAAATAGAAATAAATTGAGAATAATGATTCATAAAGCCAACCCCAAAAAGTTTGGATAAGCTAATGCTAATGATATCTTTATCATTTTTATGCTATTGTGGCTTTATCAAAAGGAGTTTATTTCTAGAGAAAGCAATAATTGGTAGGTAAGGAACTCTTTAGCAAAGATAAAACTCACCAGGACAAAGATGCCAGTGGTATCTCCCCTATAGGCCTTAAAGACTCTCATAAAGAACTTCATGCATCCTATGATGGTCTTCACTCTTCGAAAGGGGTTACTTCTATCCATCTTAAAGCAAAAACTAACCAAAGATAAAAAGGATAATGACTTTTATGCAAATTACATTGCTGATGAAAAAATAGTAACAAGATTCCCAGATTTCTACCTATCTTCATTACAAAACAAGCAGCTCTCACATATTATTATTTAGCATATTTTTGGTACAACAATAAGCATCATTTGAAGACTACATTCCATTGATAAAGAGATAACGGACCACCATTTCATGCATCATGCATACAAATTCTACAATATCCGACAACTCCAAAAACAGTGGCCTTATTTTCTTCACTAAAATATGAATTCTATTGCCCAAGCTTTGTCAGTTTGATATCACATTTTTTGAAAACTTAAGCAGTGGAGGGCCTAAGCTAAAAGCCTGAGGCCCCTTAATTTAGCTCTCTCTCCTACATGCCACTATGGAGCTCTTTCCACGTAATGGATTACCTATAACCGAAAGTCCGAAACACCTCCACTATTCCTTGGAATCTCTGTTTGAGCTTATCAGGATCCATTGTTGATCCGCAATTTGACCACAATACTCTCCAGTCACATGAACAATGTATCAAAAGTCCGCAACAAAGCACTGATGATTTTTGTCAAACCAGTTATCAATTGGGTCACCTATGGACTATTTCTAGAATGCTCCTATGAGGCTTTCATGTGATTAGCAATATTAAACTAAGAGTCTGTTTGGAACGATTGCGGCTTTTTGTAAAGATGATCGTAGAGTTGTTGCGGGGAAAGCAAATTTTTTAATGTTGTTGTAAAAAGTAGTTCACAACAACAACAACAATAACATCAAGCCTTTGTCCCACTACGTGGGGTCGGCTACATGAATCCTTTTTCGCCATTGTGTTCGGTTAAAAGTCAAATTCTCATTTAAATCTGATAAAAAAATATCATTTCTAATATTTTCTAACCAAGTCTTTTTAGGTCTACCTCTACCTCTTAGCATAAGTCAAATCTAATACCTCAACTTTCCTAACCGGATCATCAAAAGGCCTTTGTTTAATGTGACCAAACCATCTAAGGCGACTCTCTCTAATCTTATCTTCCACTGGAGCTACTCCAACCTTTTTCACGTATATGCTCATTTCATATCCTATCTCTAAGGGTCAAACCACTCATCCACCTAAGCATCCTCATCTCTGCAACACTTAACTTAGTATTATGCTTCTCTTTTAATGGCCAACATTCGGCACCATCTTATAGAATTTTCCCTTAAGTTTGAGGGGGACTTTTCTATTGCACAATAAGCCCGATGCATTCCTCCACTTCAACCATCCAACTTGAATTATGCTGATAATATCCCCATCAATTTCACCATCACTTTGAACAATAGATCCAAGATATCTAAAACGTGTACTCTTATTAATGGTTTGATCGTCCAAAGTCAATCCCCTCACTAGGTCTATTGTTACTAAAATTACACTCCATATATTCAGTTTTAGATCTACTTAAGCAAAAACCTTTAGACTCCAAAGTTGACCTCCATAATTCAAGTTTACTTTCAACTCCCTCTTTAGTCTTATCAATAAGAAGAATATCATCAGCAAAAAACATACACCAAGGTACATCCTCTTGCAAATGTCTAGTGAGACATTCCATGACTAAAACAAAAAGATATGGACTTGAGGCTGATCCTTGATGTAATCCAACCGAAATAGGAAAATACTTGGTCAAACCACCTTGTGTTTGAACACACGTAATAGCTCCTATATACATATCTTTAATGATTTGCATATAAGCATTATTAACGCCTTTCTTTTCAAGAACTCTCCATAGCACTTTTCTTAGAACTTTATCATATGCTTTCTCTAAATCAATAAATATCATATGTAGATCCTCCTTATTCTCTCTATATTTCTCCATCAAACCTCTCAATAAATGTATGCCTTCCATAGTAGACCTACCCAGCATGAATCCAATTTGATTTTGAGAAACATTAGTATCACGCCGCAACCTACGCTCCATAACTCGCTCCCATAGTTTTAAAAGTAGTTCTCTAACACAAAAATTTCCTGAAAATATTAAAAAAGCAAAACCAAATAGAAACTATAGTTGCGATCTAAACAACAAGGCAATGAGAAAGTTGTCCAAAACATACCCTAAGACTGATGCCATGGTGTAAACTTGAGAATATATAATGAACCAAGCATAAATTTGTATTTTCATCATACTAATAGAGGTTCTCTAGCACCTTTACTAAAGCTTAAGACATCTTTGACATTCTGTCTCTTATCATTTAAAACAGATGTGAAAAATCATAACCAAACTAAGTAAATTTTTGGAAACAAGCCTAAATTTGGCCAAGCACTGTATCATTCTTTGTGTCATGATAATTCAATAAATTTTACGCATGTTATCGACTACTTAACCCAACTCTCCATTTTTCTCATCCAGGACTTGAGTCCTGACAATGACAATGAAGAAAAAGGATTTATGTAGCCGACCCCACGTAGTGGGATAAAGGCTTGATGTTGTTATTGTACTACATCATTCTTCGTGAGGAAAAGTAAACTAAATGGATTTTGCGCTTAGCTGGTAAAAAAATCATAGGCTCAAAATATTTGCTCAACAGATTGCACATACTAGAATTTCAACTACAAACAAGCTATCATATCACTCAGTTTGTGACGGGAAAAGTCCAGCAGCAGCGTTGACATAGAGTTAAAAACTACATCCAACAGTTAACCGCTCAAAGAATAGGTACAAATTTTGGACTGGCCTATTAGTGCTCGTAAAGCTGTTTTTTTTCTAGCAACGCTAAGGTAAAATAATTAAAAAAAAAAAAAACTAACCAAACTTGCAATTCTCACATTTTGCAAGCAAACCTACCACAGCAAAGAAGATGAGACAGGTGCAATCAATGATAGAGAAAGAAAAAAAGCACACGGAACAAACCTTGCAAATAAAATTAGTAAGCTAGTGAGATAACGGACGAATCTACTGGAAAGTACACAACAAACGCAAGGAAAACAGACGCCTACCAAACTCAAAGATTGTTTAACTATAAATACTGATTAACACTGCAGGAATGCCAAATGGAGTCGAAAAATTTAAACAAGACAATGTTTTTCACTAAAATATCACAAAAAGCAAATCAATCGAAATACAGAATCAAAATAAGAGAGCAAAAATCCAACAGTTAACCGCTCAAAGAATAGGTACAAATTTTGGACTGGCCTATTAGTGCTCGTAAAGCTGTTATTTTTCTAGCAACGCTAAGGTACAATAATTAAAAAAAAAAAAAAAAACTAACCAAACTTGCAATTCTCACATTTTGCAAGCAAACCTACCAGAGCAAAGAAGATGAGACAGGTGCAATCAATGATAGAGAAAGAAAAAATCACACGGAACAAACCTCGCAAATAAAATTAGTAAGCTAGTGAGATAACAGACGAATCTACTGGAAAGTACACAGCAAACGCAAGGAAAACAAACGCCTACCAAACTCAAAGATTGCTTAACTATAATACTGATTAACACTGCAGGAATGCCAAATGGAGTCACAAAATTTAAAGAAGACAATGGTTTTCACTACAATATCACAAAAAGCAAATCAATCGAAATACAGAATCAAAATAAAAGAGCAAAAATCAAGCATCAAGACCAAGGAACCAAAATCCCCCGAAAAAAAACTGACGAAGTTCTTCAACAAAAAAGGCTTGAAAGCAATCTGGAGCCAGACGAGTCCTAGAACTCGACCGATGTTTGAATCATGGAACCTATTAAACTTTCGCATCATCAACGCACCTGCCATTAGACAACGCGTCGTTGAATCCCTGCGGCGTCCAAATGAACTCGTTCTCCGGCGGCACCGTGAAATCCTCGATCAGGGGGCATTCAAGTAGCCAATTAGGGTTTCCCGGCGAAGCCATCCTTATTCCGCCTAGAGTTGCCGGAGATCAACCTTCAACTTGCGCCCGCCGCGGAAATTGGAAGAAGTTTATCTGCGGGGGCCGAAGATGGAATGTGACAGCATCAGCGTCCCGATTGTGCGCGTCTTAAAGTGGCCGTTTACAAGAAAGGTTTCGAACAGCAAACATTGTTATTATCCAATTAAAAGATCGAAATGTTGTGTCTAATGCACGGTTCATCTTTTGATTGGTTGTGATACATACCCTTGTTTCGATGTGTGATAAACATGTGAATCTTATGGAAAGGTAAACGGACAGAAATAAATAAATAAGTTTTTGTAGCTAAATATCAACCACAGATTTTTTTTCCATTTTAGCAGATTTGTTTGATTATTATCTAATTTTCTCATCTTCAAAATATTCAGAATTTTAAGTGAAATTTTGACTAACACTTCACTTTGAATAGCACTTTGGATGTATATTAAGATTTTATTTGGGATAATTTTTTTATTATTTTTAAAATAATTTTTTACTAAATTTTATTAAATTTTATTATAGAAAATAATGAGAAAATTGTCTCAAACAAAGCCTAAAGTATATAACAAAAAATAGATTTTGACTTTTATATACATTGAAAAAACTCATCTAATCAAATATGAATTTTAATAAAGTTTTAAATCACGAAGACCCGAAGCATTTAAAAAAAAAGTAAAGAATTCATTATGAGGCGATCCAAATTTTGTTTCTAGCACTTTTGATGGTTAAAAAAATGTAGTTTGATGAGAAAAACCAACTAAGTTGAAATTTTGAATTCTAAGTTTTTTTTTGGTGAAAAAGAAGCTATGAGTCCATTATAGCTCTTATGAGTTCATAAAATGCTATAAAAATAACTTAAATCTAAAGAGATATATTTATATGTGTCGCAAACTGTTCAAAATTTTGTCATATATGGATAGGTTGCCCTTGCAAAAATCTATAAATACGGTATATTCGTGCACATTGTCTTTTTGGTGCAAAAAATTCACAAATATATATAATTTCAATGTTACTATCATCATATGAATTTCTATCTAACTGTCTTTGGAATTTTGTATGTCAAAATTTTTTCGGCATGTTTCTTGGTCGCCTACTTATACCTCTAAATTGGAGTAGCATAGTGCTGACCATCTTTAAGCACCTTAACTTTTTGTCCTTGTATTCCCCATCAACATCAACAAATGCTAACGATCAATATTATTCATTCTCCAATAATCACTATCACCCATCTTAAACTTACACTAACAACTATTATAACTCAACTTATGATTCTTATCATCACTCACTCTTTGACATCAATGACCATCACCATCATTAACCAACATGAGCATGCCTGTAATATCCCATGATCTAAGTGAAAGAATATATTTTTGATTCTCTATTGTTTTTAATCAGATCAATATAGATATCCATAGATGATTTATTGCATTAAAGAAAGCAAATCAAATATGAAAAACATAATTCACATTACTACAGTTAATAATTATAATATACGGCTAGCGTCCAAAAGAATATATATAATAGTCACACTAGCTACAAAAATGCATGAACCAAAAGCTAGCATAAAAACTTACTAGCATCAATATAAAGCTTCACGCTGTTGACCTCATTTTTGTATGAGGTCTCTAATGGGATCCTAAAGCTAGCTCAAACCCAAATCAATCTAAATCCCAGTCAATTCCAGACCCAGATCTCAGGTCCTAAAGCACTGTCCTAATGACCTTTTCCAGTGAATCTTTGTTTAAGGTCTCTCTTCAAATTTCCCCCAAAAGAACGAAGCTACAATGATTGTCAAAGACACTTACAAAGTGCCTTGTCAAAGCTTAAATAAAAGAGCTCAAAACGGGCTCATTAATGCAACTTGCTGACATTATCGTCCAGGATGATAGGAATATCGTCCTGGCCAATTAGTACAAAATAAGCTCAATCAGCCGGGATGATTTGGGACGATCTAAAAAAAATTGGTTACATTGTCCAAGCCGATACAATATCGTCCTGGCCGATTAGTTCAAATCCGAGTACAATCATCCTGAACATTGCTCACAATAGAGTATGGCCGATGTCAATCGTTCAGGATATTGTCCTGGCCGATCCTACGATTGGCTCGGCCAATATGATCGTATCAATCAACCTTAATTGCTTTCTATAATTATCATATTAATTTAGGCATAATTATGCTGCATCGTCCAGGCCGATGTTTAGATTGTCCTGACCAATGTCCTGAAATAAAGAATATCTAAATTGATCATGGCGGCTGATTCTTTCTGATTTGAGCCTATCTTCCTGGCCGATATAAGGACTGTCCAGGTCGATCGACTTAATGACAGCTGCCTTAATGAAGATGATTCCCTAATTAGCGTTTCTATTTTTGAATCGATCGTCCAGGCTGATATAAATATCGTCCCAAACGATGTTACCAAATAGTAAATTCTAGGGAACAGATAGAAAATCTTTCAAGATGTGTGTGTGCAAAGTTACATAGCATTAGGAGCCACACCAAAAATAATAGACTCATGAAAGGAAAAAGTGGTACAAACTGACTCAGACCTAGTCTATCCAATCTTGAGCTGGTTCCAAATTACAGTCTGATCTTGTGGACCTGAAATGTTAGTAGATAAGGCAGTCGTAGATAAATAAGAGTGTTTGCTATCATCAAAAAATATAATCCAGGAAAATAGGTCCGCAACATGTCTTAAGGAGACGAACCCAATGACACTAAAATTGGTCCAAATTGAGGGCTTAAAGCTTATTTGGAAGCTTCAAATCGTTAATTTGATAACAAAATGATGATTCAAATACGACATATTTATAGTCAATGTTGACCTCAATTTTAGCTCGAGCCCTCGAAGGCCTTTAATTGACTTATTCGAGCCCCGTCGGGTCCAATTCGAATTGACTCGAGTTGGGTCAAACTAGACTCGACAAAGTTCGAATAAATGTGGTTAATTCACATTAGCCTCTTTGAGCACTATTTGATCTAAATCGGCATCGATCTGAGTTCGCTTATGCCAAATTAATTTAATTAAATCGAATCAAACTTGAATCGGCTCGATTCAAATCAAATCAAGCTTAATTTGAACCCGAATTGACCTGAACCGAGCTGAATCAGATCTAATGAATTCAGATTTAGAAATCGAGCTGGCGATAGAAATATCATCAAAATTCAAATATTGTGCCGTTACTTCAATGGAAGGGCGTAATCTTCTCTTTTTGGCATTAACGTTCATTGAAGACGGACCTTTCCCGAGCAGTTTGCTCGGCTCGTTTAGTCTAAGGACGGGAGGCGCTAAGGGGGGAGGGGAGCTCGACTGGTCGCTGGCTGGGGGAAGCTCCAGTTGGGAAGGCACCGAAACCTTCTCCCTTTCTCGACTCCTGCTCGTGTGGAAACCCAGGCCAAAGCCGAAGTCCCTGTTCTCCCTCTCTCTCGGTTTTACATGACCCAGGAGCCGAACTCCCCTCTCACTCTCACGTGAAACTGCTCTCCCGCTCTCACTCTCATGACTAGTTCAAGCCTTTCATATATGCAACAGTTTTTTGGAGCAGGGAAATTAAAAAAAAAAAAAAAAAAGTCCCTGTTCTCCCTCTCTCTCGGTTTTACATGACCCAGGAGCCGAACTCCCCTCTCACTCTCACGTGAAACTGCTCTCCCGCTCTCACTCTCATGACTAGTTCAAGCCTTTCATATATGCAACAGTTTTTTGGAGCAGGGAAATTAAAAAAAAAAAAAAAAACTGCATGGATCACGTAGCCATAGCGGTTTGGAGCAAGGAAATGAAGAAAAACTGCATGGATCTCACGGCCATAGCTATTTGGAGCATGTAAATGAAGAAAAAAAAACGTGATAGATCTCATTGCTACAGCACTCACACAAAAAAAAAATGAAGAGCTGCTGTACATGATTTCTCCATTCAAACAAAAAAAAAGGGAGCTATTGTTCGATTTTTCCACAAGAAAGAGAGGGGTTCTTCTTCTTCTCGTTTCTTCAAACTCGGACAAGAAAATGTGAGATCCCTTCCCCTGCTGCTTTACATTTTATTTTTTTTCTGTTGAGTCATAGCATTGTAAGGCTTAGAGGCAAGTGACCATGTCATCTAAAACTATCAGCATTTTATTTATTTATTCTTTTTTTTTGGCTAAAATTGATTAGTTTGGTAACTCAATCTATCAATCTCGGGAAAATCAGAAATCGTACGAAAATCGGGCAGAGTAACGGCAGTCTATCAAATTTACACAAAAATCCTGCAAAAAGCACAAATTTCTAAATTCACACAAAACGTTCACAACATCAATATAAGACTATTGTTCTATAGAATCCATATCAAATAACATCCATATATTTTACTATTCAATTAAAATCGCGTAGAACCAATTCCGACCGGTAAAATCATCGTAGAAAATACTCAAATCGTGTACAATATTCATATCTATAACATACTAAAAGTTGTGCGGTGAAAGTTGTGTCAATACCAAATCAGGTCCAAAATTCGACTACGAAAACACAAAACAGATCACAACACGACCAAAAATCAACATCTCTGAAAACAGAAATAGGATTCGGAGTCCTTACCACGAGATCTACACTTTTCCCAACAGCGGCGTCGGACGAAAAGCGCTCCGCGGCCTCCGAAAACCAGCTTTCCTTCTCTTTTCCTTTCTCTTTCTCTCTCTTCAAAATCAGATATTTTATAAAAAATGATTTTCTCTCTCCTCAAAACGAGCTGATTTCCTTATAACCTTAGTCTGATCGTCCTGGCCGATCGCGACATCGTCCAGGACGATGTGACCAATTTCCAATCGTACTGGACGATTTTGCAGGACGATACATGACTATAATTAATTTGCCAAAACCCCTTGCTCTCGGGATTTTGCCATACACTGATCGTCCCAGGACGATCCAAAATCGTCTTGGACGATCCAGTCCAGAAATCATTCCAGAAATCAGTCATTTTCAATGCACTGATCGGCCTGGACGATCTCAACATCGTCCTGGCCGATCCTGGGAGGAAAATCCAATTCATAGAGGAACAGTAAGGGAACGAGATCTCACAAGGTCCCTCCTCTTCAGGGACTATAAATTCTGCTTATCTGCGTCACGTAGATGACGC